AGGCAGCGGAGGGCAGCCCCCCGCCCGCACGGCCGCCAGCTGCTGCTCCAGCTCCCGCACCACCAGCCGCAGGTAGTCGAAGCTGGCCCGCGACAGGGCCTTCACCCAGCCCTCCATGGCGGCCTGGCTCTCAGCGGCCAGCACGTAGGTGCGGGCCCGGGCCTCGGCGAAGCGCACGGCGAAGGTGAACTCCTCAGCGGCCTCCACCAGCTCCACGGTGCAGCCCTCCAGGATGATGACGCCCACGGGCTCACGGCTGGCCACGTCCTCGAAGTAGAAGAGCATGTTCCCGCGCAGCACGAACCAGCGCCGATGGTAGGCCGCGTGCCGGCCGCCCTTCTTGTACAGGAAGCCCGCGTTGTCCACCGGGGCGTCACAGGTCGCGTAGAAGGCCAGGCTGCGCTCGTTCAGCTTCATGGCGGCCTGCAGGGAGCTCAGGGCCTGCCCACACCGGGTCAGCTGTCACTAACGTGGCCACTGCTGCCGGGTCACCCCGTGCCTCCTCCTGACCTCCCAGCCACCCTCCGGTGCCACAGCTCTCAACACCCCTCTTTCACAAATAAGGAAACTGAAGCTCAGACCGTGGAAGTGACCTGCCCAGGCTCACACAGCTCTCAGGACCAGAGCCAGGACTCACACCTGGATCTGACTCAAACCCCCTCAGACCAGACTCAACCCTCCTGCGTTTTCCCCCGCCCCCAAAATAATGGGGATTCCTACTGCATGCGAAGCCTCTTATGCATCTTAACTCATCTTGCAACAAGCCTTAGTTGGCAGGGACCACAAGCCTGATTCCCATTTGACAGATGGGGAAACAAAGCAGAGAGGTTAGTCACGCACCCAAGGTCACAAAGCAAGTTGGGTGGAGCGGAAATTGAAACCCAGGCCTCATCCCTGGGGACCCGCTGGGCTGACCTTTTGTGGTCCCTTTATGAGTCCCGTTTTGATTTCATAACTCAGCTTTGATTTGCCTGTCCGGGCTATAACCACATGAGCAGAACCTATTTCAGAGGGATGTAGGGACTTGGTTTGGCAAACATGTATTAAGCACCCACTGTGTGCCGGGCACTGTTCTAGACACTTGGATACAGTAACAAACAAGATGAAGAGGGTCACTGCTCTTGTGGTGCTGACATGCTAGTGGCAAGTGAAGAGGGAAGCAAATTAACAGAATGAGTCTGCCCGGTGGTCTGGTTCTCAGTGCTGAGAAAATCTAATACGGAGAAGGGGTCAGGCGTGTTGAGGACAAGAGGAGTGTTTGATTTGACTGGGGGTGAAAGGCTGTCCTAAGAAGGTGACATCTGAGCAGATACCTAAAGGAGGGGAGGGAGGGAGCCCTGGGACAGGCCAGGCAGAGGGAACAGCAAGTGCAAAGGTCCTGGAGTGGGAACCTGCTAATGTGCTTGAGGAACAGCCAGGGGGCCCGTGAAGCTGGAGCAGGAGGAGGAAGGGGAGAGGCGGCGGAGGCAGTCAGACAGACAGAAAAGATTGTGGTGGAAAAGTCCAGAAAAGGGGCCCTGAGCTTGGCCCACAGTTATAGGAAGGGGGTGGCGGGGAGAGCATTGTGGACCCAAAGTAGAAGAATCGATCTGGGCACTTGGCTCAGTGATTTAATCCACTTCCCTGAGGGGCACGTGAAGAAGGGGCAGCACTGGCCGGGTAGGATTTACTGGGGGCTGATACGTGGTCCCATTAGCCTCTGATTTTCCACAGCCACTGTGAGGACCCTACCTTGTGCTCCTGCGATCACAGCCTCACTCTACATAGGACAATAGCTGCGTTTTTCAAGAGACGACGTATGTGAAGTCCCTGGAAGGCAGTAGGTGCTCAATTAATGTTTATTCCCCAGCCTGGGCAGTGCTTTACTCGGGGCCTGGAGGAATGAGGTGTGGGTGGTAGCGCTCCTGAGAGCAGTTCAACCTGACCCAGGGTGGAAGGAACAACTGCTCCCAACAGAATCACCTAGGCAGCCAAGGATGCCTTCCTGGAAGAGGTGCCATAAGCTAAGGTGAGACTGTCCTGACCTAGCAGCCAGGCCAAGGCTAGAGGCCCAGAAGGCTCTACCTCCCTGTACTGTGTGACTTCAGACACGGGCTGCCCTTCTCTGAGCCTCAGTTTCTTTCTCTGCAGAATAAGACTCATGCATTTTCCTCAACAGCCCAGCGCCATGTGGCCCCCAGCCCTATTTCTCTCAGGAACCACCCACCCTATTTGTCCCATTTCCCTCCTACCTCTCAGGCCACCGCTCCCTCCCTGCCTTCTGCCCAGTCTGCTCTCAGCTTGCTCTTCTCTGGGTTGAAATGTCAGCTCTGTAGTGTCCAGGCTGTGTGGCCTCAGGCAAGCCTTCAGCCTCTCCGGGTCTCTATGTCCACATCTGTAAAACAGGATCATCAGAGCACCACAGTCAGGATTCTTGCGACATTAACACAGTGATTACACAGAAGCTGCCGAGCATGGTGCTGGGCGTGCAGTACGTGCCCAGCAGCGGTAGCTCTTGACGTTCTTCTCACCTCCTCACCTGCTCCCCTCAGCACTCCGTCTCAGCAAGTGGCCTTTGGCTTCTCCCGTCACCCCCCCTCGGACCGCTCATCAAGTCCAACTGATCTCCCTCCAACCTCTTCCAAATCAGTGGCCTAATGTCTACCCACTGCCACTCCCCATTCTAGGCCCCCATCACCACTCCCTCGACGGCTCCAGGAGCCTTTTCACTGGTCTCCCTGCCTCTACCTTTGCCTCTTCCCTGTCCATGTTCTTCAGGGTAAGAGCCACGCTCCTTCCCAAGCCCCTCCCCTGATCCCATTGAAACCCATTCCCCACAGGAAGATCCTGTTTAAAACTAAATACAGCCCTAACCGGTTTGGCTCAGTGGATAGAGCATCGGCCTGCGGACTGAGGGGTCCCAGGTTCGATTCCGGTCGAGGGCATGTACCTTAGTTGCAGGCACAGCCCCAGTACAGGGTGTGCAGGAGGCAGCTGATCGATGTTTCTAACTCTCTATCCCTCTCCTTTCCTCTCTGTAAAAAATCAATAAAATATATTAAAAACAAACAAACAACTAAATACAACCATATCCCTCCACCACTCCAAACCCTCCCAAGAACTCCCTACTTCTCTCCGTAAAAAATTCAGTTCTCCCCATGGCCTCCAAGTTCCCTTCCCCTACCTCTGTCCCCCTTGCTCACTCAGCTGCAGCCACCGTGGACTCCTTGCTGTTCCTCAAACACATCAGGCACATTCCCACCTCAGAGCCTTTGCCCTGGCTGTTCCCTCTGCCTGGGATGCCCTTCCCAGCTCTTCTCATGGCTGACACATCCTTCAGTTTCAGCTTGACCATCACCTCCTCAGGGAAGCAGTCCCTGACCACCCGAGATAAGAGACTTTCCTGTCACTCTCACGTACCCCAACCTGAAATTACCTGGGTCATTTTTGCCTGCTCTAGGGGGGGCAGGGTTTGGTGTTGGTTTTTTTGTTTGTTATTGTTTTTTGGTCTGAATTCCGGTGCCTGGCATATAATTGGTGCTCAAATACCTATAGAATGAGTCAAACAGTCATCTTAAATCTCCCAACAGCTCTGTTGAGAAGGTGTCAGTTCCCATCCCACACAAATAGATGTGGAAACGGAGACACAGAAAGGTTAAGTAACTTGCCCAAAGGTACAACACTGTGCCCAGGATCGCAGGCTCTAGACAACTGGCTCAAAGGGGCTGCTCCTGGGGTCTCCCCACTCCTTGAAAGCCAAGAGAGAGCCACTTCCCTCACACTCAGCAGCCCTCCCCGCTCACTGCCCACATTGGGGCCCGGCCCGGCCCAAGGTCACCCGTGACACGGGAACCACTCTGCCCATGGCCCCTCTTCCAGCCCCAGCAAGAACCAGGGGGCGGGGCAGAAACAGGACCGGCACCGTTCTGGCTGATCTCCCCACACTCCTGTGGCTTCTAAGAAGTTCAGAGTCCACTGTAGGCAGTGCTGCTGACGCAACAGCCCCTGGCCTGGCAGAAAGCTGTGGGCAAGCGTGTCAGACTCGCTTGCTGGGGGCCCGGCCCCTCTCTGGTCCCAAGGCCACGTTCTCACTTGGACCAGTCCAGGCTGGAGGGTCTTGAGAAAGTCACTTCACCTTTCCAAGCCCCAGTTTCCTCATCTGCCAAGTGGGCTCTGGAGAGGATTCCATGAGCTAAAATGAGGAAAGCCCGATGCCCAACTAGGGGAAAGGCATCGAACATACTGCCGCCGCGAGTCGGAGTTTTCACAGCCTCACCTATAAAACGAGAACATTAACACCCATCCCGCCAGGAGGGTTCCATAAATGGGCCTGAAGAGCCATTCTGCAAAACGCTCAGCAGGTAGTGGGCACTCGGGGAAGCAAGCCGAAAGACAAATGAGCTCAAGGTCCCGGGGACACAGCTGGCCCAGAATCCTGGCTTCGGGAGAAACTGAGGCCTGGCCTTTGGCACTCAATTCCAGGAAGGAAACCGCCCCACAGAGTCTGGGGTTGAATCCAGCTGCCACAGGTGTCCCCTCGCAGAGGGTGTGGGGGGGAGGGCGTGGCAAGCACAGGCATAAAAACAAGTGCTGGGAGCCCCGAAGCAGCGGCCACAGGGACACCAGGAAGGAGCCCGCCCGGGCTGGAGGCGGCCCGCTGCCCATCCTCGGGGCTGGGTCTCCAGGGCCGGCCGCTCCTCGCAGCCCTCTGCCCTTTGTGTGAGTTCCCTAAAGGACAGCCAGCCAGCAGCGAGATGCGGGTGCCTGGCGGAGGGCTTGTCCCCAGAGGTCCCTTAGGGGCTGGGGGCGGGAGGGCGGACCGCAGGATCCCGGGTTCGAATCCAGTCAAGGGCACGTACCCGGGTTGCAGGCTCCATCCCCAGTCGGGGGCGTGCAGGAGGCGGCTGGTCCAGGGCTCTCT